GGCCTCTGAATCTAGTAGATCACTTTTTTGTAACGTGAAGTGAGCCCCTCGGGCCTTCACGACAACAAAGCAGGCTCTCGTTACGGGGTCTTTATCTCGTCCTCGGAGTGAGCTCTCACGGGCCTCCGCTACTCCTCGGAGCGAGCTCTCACGGGCCTCCATATCCGGTAGAAGAAAACAGGCAGCCTGCCGCGGAAAAGACGCCGGGACCACTCCGGTCCCCCACGACCGCTACTCTCCTTGGAGAAGAGACCCTTGGATGAGGGTATCACATTTGTGCAGTGGCACTTGATCCCACTGGACCAGCCGGACGAGCCAGGAGCCGCTATCGTAGATCCACGACGACGACCCGTCAGCAACGCGACGACGCAGACTTGGCCACCGTGGCCACTGGAGCCTTTACCATCGATCAAGGAACTCTGCAAGGTTCGGCCGCCCATCAGCCCACGAAGACGCCGCAGAAGCCGAGGACACCCGGGCGGAAGCGGGCCAGACGGATCAACCCTAAATTACAGCAACAGCTGTTTGGATCCGACACGGACAGCGAATAGTACACACTTACACCCAGCGTACACGCGCCGCAAGGCGCCGTATAAAGCCTTATCAATAGTACCGAAAGGTACCTCTGTACATAGTGTACAAAGAGAATTTTGAATAAAGATCACACTATATATTATATTTGTGGATACACCAGTTATTCAGCGGTACCCGTCCACAGGTGAACACATTGGAGTGAGTCTCCCACTTTAATAAGCCGCTGAGTAAGATACTATGTGCTCCACGTGAGCATCTATCACATTGCTCCACGCGAGTGGGTGGTTAAGATTACTCTCCCTTCGAGAGAAAAAATAAGACTAAGACTCTAACTGAACTCCCCGCTTCTAGCTGCGCACGCGCTTAAATAAACCACGTTATCTCCTCTATAATCCTCGATCCTAACGCCTCGCTCGCATGCTGTGCCTCCGCGTTCGCTTAGCTCGCTCGCGCTACTCTTAATTTCTGATTATAATATTCCGCATATATCGGATCCCATTACATAAATATTCTTTTCTTTCAGGTATCTCGCGTACATGACAGTTATCAACGATAGGATTTCTTTGGTTTCCTGTCCAGCAGGTAAGTATATATAAATTTAACTTAATTACGTTGTTCTTCTTTCAGGTACATTGCATCCCGGATAAGTTCCTTCAGTCCTCCGGTCTTGAGGTAAGTATTGCTCACGATGATTAGCTTAGCTTATATTTATTCTACCGCACGCATTACGCAAACTTGTTTTTTTACCTAAGTTGTCTTTCGCATCGTATTTTTCTTCGACACCCGGTATGTAATGAATTTCTAGCTACGGTCTGTTTCTCGACGTTTGTCCCCGCTTACATTGCCGTTTCGCGTTTTTCACTATCGCAATTTTCTCGTTCGGCGCCAGTGTTTTTTGAACACCCGGTGTATTATACATCTATCGCAAACGCTAACTCTTTCCGTTTTTAGACCTGAAAAGATTCTCCCTCGCGGG